AAAGCATTTTTACATTAAAAATAGTGCATTACATATAATACAAAATTTATTTAAGCAATTTTATCTAGGAGAACATACTTAAGCCATATTTTACATATACATACTGTGTTGTTGTACATACCTTATATAAGCCATTTTCCTCCAGTGAAATAGAAAGGCGAGTGCAAGATTCACGTAAATTGTTTTCTGGTACTCCAGAACCTGGCCCTCCTGCCCCGCCCCACAGCCCCCATTTCACTGCCACCTCCTCCCACGAAGGTCATAACCACTGCTGCTCTCAGGAATGTGAATCAATGCTGGGGTGGACTGTGATTCTTCCTGACAAGCCATAGCTAAAATAAATACATAATTATAGAAAAAAAGATCAGAGATTCACATATTTTGAAATTTAATTGTGTTGGTACAAATATATAATCAAAGAGCAGGAGAAAAGAATATTCAAGTACTGTACAGTATATAGATATGTAACCACCATGGCTAAACAGCAATAATTCTTCTAAATGAAAAGGAACTCTTCACAGTAGTGTACAGCCTTTTTTATTTTGAAAATCAGGCATATCCTTGAATGTTGCTTCTCTCAGTCAACCAATGTTTATAAAACACCTGGCCAAAAGAAATCTTCTTCCCTGTTTATGAAGCAGGAAGATGATTAAATGTGAAACTGACGGTTATGAAAAAAAATTGAAAGTAATTGAAAAGCTGAAGGGTGGTGCATATATTGTGGATGGCATGAGTGTTTGGTGTTTAGAGAATCAATAATTTGGTCAATTTAAGGCAAAGATAAAGGCTTGTGCAATATGTAATCCTCAATGTTACACAGTGAAAAAGAATGAGTAACAGAGCAATACAGTTAAATAAAACAAGTTACCAAATGTGTGAATGAAAAGCAAAGAAAGATGTAGCACGTGATGCCCTTATTATTAGGAAAAAAGCCTCATCATACTATAAAAGGTGTATGAGAAAGGACAGTTCAAAAATAAGTGCACATTTAGTTTTGGATGGTTTAATAGATTTAAAAATGCACAGTGGTTTGCATAATATAAACTATCTCTGGGAAGAGAGCTCTTCTGTCCTCTGCTTTCCCTACATTCCAGTCTTTCTAATCTCAGCAATTCTCTCCATCCCTTAGACATCAAGCTTACTTTCCGCCAGACTAACACTCTTCGCACTAATCTTGTTCATACCTCTCCTCCCTCTACAGATGTTCCTGGTGTCTACTCTATTTCTTGCTCCTACTTCCTCTTCAATACTTTGGAGAAAACTGGTTGACCTCTTTCTGACAGACTTAGGAGCACAAAAATAGTGTTAGGCTTGCCGACACTAATAATGCTCTTTTCTGTCACATCAGAGATCACAGCCATCCTATTGACTGGTCTTCTGCTAAAACTGTCTTCCCTACTTCCAACTTTAACAGTCCGCCGTCTGGTTGAATCCTCCCTAATACACAACTTTCCCTGTATGAATCTTAGTCCTGGCTTCGTCTCTGTAGATGCCTTCCTCTCCCACTACATTGTAAAATGCTCCAAACTTCAGAACACCCGTGACTTAACCTGATTCCTCCTTTTTTCTTCTTCTTCCCTCTTCTCCTTTCCTCTTTTTCTTCTGGGCTGCCTTTCTTTCTTGTCTTGTGTTTCTGTTCCTTCATTATTTATTTCATTACTTCCCCTCTCCCCCACCTCTGTGTTCTTGCTCTCCTCTCGTGGGCACCTAGCTCCCTTGCAGTGCTTCCCTTTTATTTGTATTTGACTGGCTCCTCCTCCTCAATTCCCCACTACTACTACTACTACTGCTGCTGCTACCACCACACTACTTCCTGCCTACATATACCCGTCCTGCTCACTTCTTGTTAGTGTGACTTTGTAAATGGTCCAAGTCGGACCGAAACGTCGTCATAAGCTCCCTCTTCTTCTATGTGCGGGTTATTTGTGTAAGTGCCTTTGCTGACCTCAGGAAAGTTCTTGGCTGAGGTAATTAGCACTATCTCTGAGGATGGCTACAAGCCTGAATGAGACAGGTTTGTTCTGGAAGATGCCATCCAGAACACACATTACCAAATGAGAAAACTGCTCACAAATTCAAGGCTGCAAAAGACCATTTCAGCTTGCTTCTTTGTAGTAATGCATCAGGGGACTTTAAATGTAAAACCCTTGCTGGTTTATCACTCCAAAAATCCCTTGCCTGTTATCTGAACGTCCAGCACCATTGCATAGATGACCAAGGCCTTCTTCACTTAATTCCTGAAATGAGGATGCACCTGTGCCTGAAAAATCTTGCATACAGGATCTCATCCTTGATAATTGTCATAGTCATCTACAAATCCTGAAGGGATGTGGAACCAGGTGCCAATATTGTCTTGTTGAAAGCCAAATACAACTCCTTGATACAACCACTGGACGGGAGTTGTCAAAACATTCAAATGCCCAGTACACACAGTGTGCCTCGTAAACTAGTAGCAGCAACTGACGCAGACAGTATAATGTCAAGAGTCCTGGAAACAAATTTAATATTGATAAATGCACTCCTTTACGTGAAAAAGACACGGATCATTACCCAAGATCAACAATAAATGCTGGTTAAAGAAATATAAAGGCGGGAAAGTTAAGTTCAGGAAACTGATGGTCTGGTTAGGAGTGTGCCAGGTGAGGGATTGAAGATAGCAGCAAGATAACATAATGAACTCTTGAAAGATGATGATGAAAGGCCAACCTACAGAAAAATTTGTTTGAATGAATGGTTTGGAAAAACTGACAATTGATAATGGGGACACTTGTGCAACATTTGGGCATCTTTATTCTGGAGACATTTTACCAGAAAGTTTGGAGAGATACATTGTGTATTTTTATGTATAAAACTTCTAAGCTGTTGTATTCTGGGCACCTCTGCAAAAACAGTGATTATGTGGTGAGTGAGGTGAAAGTTTTTTGATTGATGATGAAAGTTTTTCTTTTGGGGTAATTTTCTTTCTCTTTGGGTCACCCTGCCTGGGTGGGAGACGGCCGACTTTTTTGGAAAAAAAGAAAAAAAAAAAAATCTCACCAGCCAGGGGCTTCCTCAGTCCAATGCAGAGGAAGGTGAAAGATGTGGATTTTGGAGGTAATCAGTCCCTTACCAATTTGTTCAGTCCAGGCTGGTGGACTGATTACCTCAAACTCTTCCTCATCTTCCACCTTTCTCTGCATTTGACTGAAAAAGCCACTGGCTGGTGAAATGTTTTCAGAATAAAGATACACAAATGTTGCACAAGTGCAGGGGAAACATTGCATTAATTAAATTCTCAACTGCAGAGAACAGAAAAATGAGAATGAAGTGTCACTGCAAACTGTTCGTAATTTGGGCAGACTTGTTTGCTGGAAAGGACCATGACTCATCTCAAAGCAGTTTTTGTAAAACATGCTCTAAAACAGAGCTTGGACCTTTTTGTCTGTTGTATAAAGAACTGCAGGGTAAAACAAACAAGCATATAGAAGAGTACCTGAGTACTTCACTGAAACCCAACTGATGAAGCGCATCAACACAAGAGCTCCAACCTCAACATCAAAAAAGTCCCAAATCTCTAACCTCAGCTTAATAGGACCAAACAGCTGCTCTCTCCACCCTGAACTTAACTTGAAGGTAAGTAACAAATAATAACAGTACATACTAATGTAACCATTTCTTGGCTAATGTACTCTTTTAATTGTCAAAAACTTCGTTAGACTTCAGGCATTTCACCACAGAGCATCATCATTGACAATGTTGGGAGGGAAAAAACCCTATTTCTCTAATTTTTTTTTCTCTCTCTCATGCAGGTCTGAGGAACGTAACCCTATTTTTTCCCATGTTTTTCAATCCAGAAGTTGCAGAAATTATTAGTAATGCCTTCATGCCATTATCACAGAATTTTGGCACAACCTAATTTAAAATTAAACCTATGTCTTTATTGGCAAAAGGGGCAGGAAAAAATGAATTGAAAAAAGTTTTATGCCAATAACACATTTGCGTTCAAGTGGCAAGGAAGGTATGATGTTCCATTTTTCACAACCATTCGTAAAGACATAAGGGTTCAAAATTAAAAGTTTTGATAGAAATCCAATTAAAAGTTTGATAAACCCAAAACACTGGTTAACAAACAAAAAAATGTGTTTTTGGTGGTCAATCCTGAAAAGGGAAAAATTTGGGCCTGTGGAATGTTAGAAAGTCTCTAATGAGGTACATAAAACTATCAAGATTTTCAATGCTTCATACATCATAATAAAGGAAGGAAAAATAACACAAAGCACCTTCCTTCTAAAGCTTCACATCCATCCATAGAAAAAAAATATTTTACTATTATGTAAATCACTAATCACTCAAATAACTTGTCAAACTTTGTTTCTCAGGGTAATACGTTTGAAATTTTTTATTTTTATTCTTTAATTTTTCACAATAGTGAAAACAATTACCAACTTCGTAACACTAAATTTCTGGCATAATATGCATTTCTGATTCCCGAAAAATTTTTTTGAGAAATTAATAAATAAATAAAGGAAGCATTTTTTTAAAGGTGCATATGCACCTTTTTTGTATTTTGGTTTTTTTTACTAAACTTTAACATACTCTTAACATGCAAAGCTTGGTTTTCACATACTAAAAGGACAACTATGACAGCTCAAGCCACATGGTAAAGCAGTAAATTTCCAAGCATCAGCATTTTGGGAGGTAAAATTTGATTATATTAATGTGCACAAGCATTTCACTAGTAGTCCAGTCACCAAAAACCTATTTTTACCAAGAAGTACATTTCAAGGGCCCTAAGAAACACCAACTAAGTGTCCACAAAGTCCTTTCAGATTTTTAAACATGTCTTACAACAAAATGGTAAATAAAAAATGCAGTTTTCTGTGGGGTACCCAATGTAATAGTTTTTTTATAGCTTCACTGTTGTCTGATCTACGTAGCCTCAATATGTGCACCTTTTGTGGGCCATAAAACATATGAAAATCCCGGCCATTTTGTGTATGGTCAACATATCAAGTGATTTCTGATGCCATCATTTATTCTAGTTATGAAGTGTTTTAATATTAGGGACTGGTAAAAATTGAAAAAAAAACTTTCACAAACTGCCACAAGATGAGGTCGTAAAGGGAAAAAGACCAGGGAAATGTGGGTACCAGGGCCACCAGGCCCAAATCATCTACCAGGGAATTTCATGTTATGATAACTTGTATTATAAGCAGAGACTTGTACTTTTTTACTCTTTTACCATGTTGTTATAATAATTTTTGTAATCAGAAAAGGAATTTGTCCCATTTTAGGGGTGCAACAAAAAAACAGAATGAATGTACAACAAGCAACAGTAAAAGTGCTACAAAAA